CATTTAAAAGTGAACCACCCTAATTTGTACTTTCCAAAACACAGCAATATTTCAAAATCCACATTGCTCTGAATTTTGGAATGCAGTTCTCCAGTTGAGTAATGTGGGCCAAAATGTATATGCTAGGGTAACATGTGCAAAAATGTGTATACTAAATTCATACTAAAATGTTGGTGATTTTTCATGAGAACTTTTTACTCTTTCTTAAAATAAACCCATATGGAAAAGTGGATAACTGAGTTTGAGCTTAGAAAAAATGAGAAATGGAGAGAAATGAAAATTGATACATGCATCCATCCTTAGTGTTACACCACCAACATTATAATTTAGAGTAGGGCTCTCAAACAAGAACATCGGAAGATTCCTGCTGGATCAGACCAAAGGGCTATGTAGTCCAGCATCTTGTATCTTTCAGTGGATAAATAGGTGTCCCAATAAGAAGCTCATGAAAAATACATGAGGGCACCAACACTCTCCCATTCCTGATACTCAGCAACTAGTATTCAGATGTATACTGTGTCGGATACTGGAGGTAATATACAACAGGCCTCCTCACCTGGAGCCCTCACCTGGAGTCATTGGCCATGTTGGAAGGAGCTGTACTCCGAAAAACATGAAGGGCATTAGGTTGGAGAAGACTGATATATGTAAATATCCTCCACAAATTTGTTTAGTTCACTTTTAAAGCCGGGTTGGCAACCATCATCACATCTTGCAACAGCAAATCCCCTAGTTTAACTATGTGCTGGGCAAATAAGTCCTTCTTCATTTTCAGCTTCATTTGACAATGTCAGGTTCTAATAAGGGCTGTGCACTGCTCCTCCTATGAGCTGGAACACACAAACACCCAATTCAGCCCTGAATCAATATGAGGGTCAATTAAATTAAACATATTGGATGTGTAAAAATATGGCCCCAAGGGGATGGGGGAAGGTGCTTGGGAAGTGGTGCCCTGCAGGAATCCTCCACTTACTAGCTGGGGAAGGAAACTGCAAAGTAGATTCTCGTGTGCACTCCCTGCCCCAAAGCATTAATTTGACGGGGACTTTCCCCATGCGCTGGAAAGGCTAGAATGAAATGAGCCTTCTGGAGCTGTCCGTGGTGCTGCAATGCATCTGTGCAAAGCTTTCAGCCACAATGGCTTTTATTACATTGTTTTGGTAAAGCAGGGAACAAGCTCTTGAGTTGCACAGAGGTACATCATATGCCCATTGAGTGATTTACCTGGGTTATAGTTCACCCTGCTTCAGCCTTCAGAGCTGGTTTACAGTACTGATATGTTTTTAAGTGTTCTCACCATCCTACTCTTAAAAAAGCTCAAACCTGGAGAAAACCTTCTTAGGATCTAAAATGAGGAAAATGCAAGAGACGGGATAGTGAATTAAAAATAACTGATGTGCACAGTTCATGCATTATTTGAAACATTTATATCCCGCCTTTCCATCCTGCAGGGATCTGCAAAGCAGCTAATGAAAGCATATGGCGAGTAATCAAAACAGAATAAAACAACAGCAAAACATTCATTAAGACAATAAGCAATAAACAATAAAAGCCACAAATAACATAACAAAACCACAAGAGGCAGCAAAACAGGCGGCAGAAGCATCCAAATTGGGATTAGAGGATTCCACCCCTTCCAATCATTTCTTCCTCTCATTCCCTCTGCATCTGTGTTCACTCCTCCTGATTTCAGGTTTAAGTAGAATAATTTCTAACATTCATTGCAGAATTGGAGCATACACAACCAGAGCTCAGAGTCAAGCTGTGGAGTTTGCTGTGGCATTCAGTTCTGTCAATACAGTTGAATTTCCCACAAATCCTGACATTATTTATGAAGCACTGTGAAAAAAGCAATGTTAATAGAATGCTACATATGATTGATTTTACACAATTGATTTTAATATGTGAACCGCCCTGAGGACACAGCTGATTGGGTGGTATAAAAATGTTTAAATAAATAAATGCATACATATATATATAAATAACTGCTCTTGATTGTATTGGGATTCTTCTTTATGGAATGTTTTAACTGCACAAAACCCTAACCACAACTTTGCGCACAAGTGTACCCATACATCAGCAAGACATTTGAAGATTCGTTTTCTGCAGTGTTTTATCAATCAGCATATTTGCATAGCTAGTGTGTTCATGCTGCATGTGGAGGGTGGTGGTGACACTAATGAACGGAAGGTGTCACAATGTGTACATTGATCCATATAAAATATGTTCTATATAAAAGTATTTCCTGAGGAATTCCAATGCTTCCGTTCCACATTGAAAGTGCTACTGAGTTGTTTGGAACTCCAAATTTCAATGAGAAGTTCAGGTGAATAAAATTTTGGAAACAATATTTAGAGAAACTTCCTAATGGTAAAAACTGTTTGGATGTGGAACACTCTGCCTCAAGACATAACATATGCTCTTTTACTGGAAGTGTTTAAGCAGAGGCTAGATAGCTATATGTCATTCTGAGCTGCAGATCTAGCCCTTAAGTAGGAGGCTGGGCTAGGTGACCTCTTTTCTGCAAAAACTATTTGAGTTATGCCTCAATTCCTGGAAACATGGGGCTTCTTTCTGAAACAAAAAGAGCTTACATGTATCATGCACCATTGTTCCATCATGGAACCCAAGGCAATGATCATCCAGTTCCCAGAAGTCACCCATCCAACCAATGATCAGACCCAGATCTTCTTAGCTTCAACAAGTTGATTGCACACTCATGATATCAATCTTGCAAAATCATGGGCAGAATGCTTCTGAATACTAGTTGATGAGGAACAACAGTGGGAGGGTACTGTTGCACTCATGTTCTGTTTGTGGTCTTTCAACAGGCATCTTGCTAGCACCTGTAGGGAACAGAATTCTGCATAGGACTTTGGTTCAATCCAGCAGGGCCTGTTTTATATTCTTAATCACAACTCCTACATGGCCCTTTCAGGGGTCGTTGGACTAAAAAATGATATATAAATAAACCCTACCACACCTCTGCTCTACCCTTCCCTAGCATTTTGTCTGCTTCCAGAAATGGAACATCCTGATTCCAGGAGGAGAAGGAGGACGTGTTCTGGGTAATGACAGTGCTTCACGTTCATTTGTCTAGTTGTAATCTTTATGAATCTCTAAGGCAAGTCAGTATTATTAGCCCTCCATATTGCAGATGGGAAAACTGAGACTGAAAAAGAGTGGCTGGCTTAAAGCCACCTAGTGAGTCTATGGCAGAAATCCTGCTAATGAACTTAAATTGTAAGTAGGCAGATTTGGTTGTGTTTCTGTTACTTTGATACCTTTTACTGCTGTACTATAATTATATGTGCTTGTCTTGTCTAGTTTTATGTTTTCCAGCCCCCACTTTTGTTTCAACCAGATAACCCTATTTATAGGGTTACTTGGCAGTAAAATAAATAAATGCTTCTTGGTGGTTGAGGCATTTCAACATGGGAACCAAGCATCTAGAGAAATTGTGGGCTCTCTGTCACTGGAGCTAGGCAGACACTTGTATGGTGAAGTTCTTGCCCTGGGTTTCCTTCATTGTGCAGAAGGTTGATAGCCTTACAGGGCCAGCTCCAGCTCAATTATTCTATTCTTTTTATTCTCAATCAGTCACTCACATTTCCTTTTCTGCCATTGTATATGCCTTTAACTAACCTCCCCCATCATAGCTGGGGAAGATCATGCAGAAAACATAACACTTTGCACCTCCCTTCCTGAGTCAAACAGAGCCTCAATGAGGAAAGTGTCATCCCTGAAGGAACAAAGGAACACAGAAAGCTGACTTATACCTAGTTGTCTAATTGAACCACTTAGCCAACAGTGACTGGCAGCAGCTTTCAATGGCTACTAAACCTGATGGCTATGAAACCACAGGAGGAAAGAGTGCTGTTGTGCTCAGCTTCTGCTCATGGGCTTCTTATGGTCATCTGGTTGGCCATGGTGAGAACAGGGTGCTGGACTAGATGGGCCATTGGCTCAATCCAGCAGGCTTTTCTTATGTTCTCTCTGGGGGTTTCAGGCACAGTCTTTCCCAGCCCTAACTGCAGATGGCAGGGAGTTAACTTGGGACCTTCTGCATGCAAAGCAGATGCCATCCCACTGAACTATGGCCCTTCTCCTTAAAGAAGGCTGCAACAAGGAAGGTAGAAGAATCCTCACAGAGGCTGATAGGAAGAGAACCCAGTGGATGGTCAGCCTGCTTAGAGATAGCTAGGACGTGTGTGTGTGTGTGTGTGTGTGTGAGAGAGAGAGAGAGAGAGAGAGAGAGAGAGAGATCCGGATGGATGGCTTGTTGGAGGGAATTTATGAGCAGAGAACAGGGTGGTTGGACTTTAGGGGAGGGAGACAAAGACTGTACACAAAGGGAGGGAGACAGAGGACCTAGTAAGACAAAGATAGGGAATGGAACAGGGGCAAGAGGCGGACAAGAATAGAGGAGCGAGAGAGAAGGAATAGAACAGAAAGCCAAACTGCATAGAAATGGGAACTATAGAAACACAACGGAAAACGAAGAGAGAGAGACAGATGACCCCCCCAACTCAATTTCTTGTGGTGCTTACTATATCCAGCAGGTTTCTCTAATTAGTCGCTTCGCCTTCGCCCGCCCAAATCTAATCCAACGATTCGTGTCCACGGACACACCAGCGACTCTTGAAGCCCACTCCTCAATAGGCTCTAAACCTCCCCTTCCTCCTCAAAAGCGCACATCTCTCTCCTCCTCCCACCCCCCACCCCATGCCACATCTCAAAGGGTGGGTCCCCCTATATCTCACAGGCCAGCACCCCTGTCTTCTTTTTATGCCCTCCCCCACATCCCTGTTTCAACACGCAGCCCCCGCTCCCACGTCCCAATGATAGAGGGAGTGAGAGACTTCTTAGGACCAACCCCCTTCCAGGCTCTCGGCCCCGCCCTCCTCCCTCCCTCTACCCATTCATTTTCTTCAGCCGGGCCGAGAGTTCCGCCCCTGACGGCAACGAGGCCCCGCCTTTTCCTCCACCCTTTGCTCATTTCGGTCGCCTCCCTCCCTCTCTCCCGCCCTCCCACCTTCTCTCTCTGTGCTGCTTTTTGCGCCTTCGTTTCGCCCCCGGTGGCTGCAAACTGATCCATCAGAGGAAGGCAGGGAGGGGATTAAGGATAATAATAATCATACAGAAAGAACACAAGGAAAGAGGACTGGAGAAGGATAGGTAAAAGAAGGTGGGGGAGAGAGGGAAGGAATAACATCCGGATTTTCTTTTTCATCTATTCCCCACACCTCTTCCTTTTTGCATCTCTGCCTTTTAATGCCTGGGATCCGGGGCGAGGAGAGGGATTCTCTGTCTGAGCATGAAAAGGACTGCTAAAGCCCCAGTCTTCCTACGCCTGCAGCATCAGCGGAGAATCGCCCACTATGCGCTCTGGATCCAGAAGGGCTCGCACCACAAGTTCCTGCCGAGCCGAATGAGAAACCAGATCTCCGCCAGAGAGGGGCACTAACATCCGGTAAGGGGAAAAGGCATTTTACTATTATTATTTTGACTCTGCTCAGCCAGACAGCCACACAGACAGCCGCAACATCGGCCAGCTCGTTCTTGTGGGGCCGCCCTCTAGAACTCCCGTAGGCATTCCTCGTTATCTAGCCTCTCTATCTTGGTAGTCACTGTGGGAAACCGGACCAAAATGGTCTGATCCAGCAGCAGCGCTCTTCTTCTATGGCTGGCAGACTTCTCTTCCGAATTCTCTCTCACACTCCTTAACAGCGCTGCCTCCCCCCCACCCCGCAATAATAATAATAATAATAAAAAATCCTCCCATCGCTCCAATCTTTCCCCGGATTTCATCTTGCCTCATTCACTCAGCCAAAATCTGAGGGATTCAGTTCCCATACACGTCGCTTTGCAGTTTCGTATCCCCCTACTTAGTAAGCAAAGGGTTAAATGGTGGATGTACAAAATCGCGCAGAAACTCTGGGCTTGCGTGTGCCGGACCGCAACACAACACAGACAAGACCTGTACGTGTGTGTTCAGGTGCCTAATCGCTCACAGGCTGTATGTAGTGCAATTCCCAGACGAGATCTGTCGTGTGTCCGTGTGTCCGTGTGTATAAGTGTAAAACTCTTTCAGCCTCTACACACACCCTTGTAGAATTATTTCTGCTGGGCTGTCGTGATTTGTCATGATCTCGGGTCATAATTTTTGAAGGAAACTTCCCGCAAGGAGGGAAAGGCTAGTGTGCGTGTTTGGTGGACGTGTGTGTGTGTACACGTACAGCTGTTTCATGCAGTGCAATCACATATTACGCTCAGGCTGAAGTAGCATCTCACAAAACTGCATGGAAAGAGAGGGCTTGCAAAATCTCGGCGCCCCCCCCCCGTAGCCCAGCCGCCACCCCCCCGTGATGTCTATGCCAAGATATATTGATCAGGACAGAGTCTAATAGAGTCCTGGAGGGGGGGGAGTCCCCAAGGAGACAATGTCCTCTTTGCTTAATAGACTGCTGTGTTTGGTTTGCAGAGTGACAATCCAAGCTTTGAATTCCAGGCTATGGGGGGGCGGCGGCTACTTCCTCACCCTGCCCCACTGGTATGTGGGGAGACTAGGTAGGAATTGTGTTTAAATTAGATGTGGAGAGAATGGTCTGTCTGTGTGGCTGTTCACGGTGGGAAGCAGAATGCTGGACTAGCTGGATGTTGGGGTCTGATTCAGTGGGTCTCTTCTTATCTATTTATTTATGCACTGGAACAGCAGGGTGCCATGTATGCATGGGGAAGGAGTCTCTAAGGGGAGCGCTCCAGGATGGGAGGGGGCACCTTAGGAAGTGGAAGCATGCTGAAAGCTAAACTTCAGCTTTGCCAGCCTTTTAAATAATTTATGCAGCATGGATGGAGACTGTGCCATTCCTCCATTCTCTGGAGGGTCATAGAATATATATTCAGGGGTTTAATGGGAAGGTGGTCCGCCGTGGTAGTGGTGGTGCGGTGAAGTATGTACACACACACACACACACACACTTCTCTCTCTCTCTCTGGAGAGAGGCTCAGTGCTACTTCTGATGCATAAGCCATAGTATAATGAGAAGGCTATTGACAAACCACTCCAGTATAAAGATTCGCTACCCCCAAATCACAGCTGTAGGGGAAAGGATGGGGGATGGAGCGTGTCCCACCCAGAGGAGAGAAATCTTTTCTTAATAGGAGTTAAGCTGGTCTGAGAAGAGTTACAGAGAGGTAGGCTGATGGTGCAAAGGAAGAAGAGATTAGCAAGAACTCTGGAGGGTTGCAGGGAGTGCTATTTCTGGGGAGATTCAAGCATCCTTCCCACTGTTGATGGTCCTATACACCAATTTACCGTGCCTGCTTCCCTCTCTCTCACAGGACTATCTTTTATACACATGCACACATGCATGGACTGATACTAATGAGTGTGTGTGTGTGTGTGTGTGTACGCGTGCGCGCGCGCGCACACACACACACACAGTACATTTATTCACAGAGGTCGTCTTCTTTTGGTTTCACACAACACATGAATTAGTGCTTGTCTCCCTTTCATAACACATAGCTGGTGTCTCTCTCTGACTTGCACAGGCACACACCACTGGTGGCCTACTCTGGCATGCATGGACACACACACACACACATTTGTATTACGTACACACACTTTGCCATCAACACCTTTTCTTTTATATGCACACAGATACACATGCCACTTGGTCACGTAGATTTTGCCTGCTACTCACAAGCATGCTAAGGTATTGCAGACAGCTTCTCTCTGTATTTCAAATGTGCATGTGCGCGCACACACACACACACACACAGAGCCACACAGACTTTATTGCTTTGCATTATGGTTGCTTGCACACAAAGTTTCACCATGTCCCCCTTCCATTTCCATAAACTGTCCAAAGAAAGCTCTCCTCTGCTCTCCTCTCCTCTCCCATAAAATACCTATTTTATACTGATGTACATGTATCCAGTGCTTCTTTCCTGTGGGGACGCAGGGGTACACATACCCCTAAACATTTTTTGAATCTTTGTACTTTTGTCCATTTACTGTATTTATTTTCCCCAATTTGAACTATAAAATGGTGATTTTCTTGAGTGAAAATTAGAGTATCCCTAAACGTGTGTTTTTTAAAGAAAAAAAAAAGCACGGCATGTATCCCCACCCAGTTTCCTTCCATGCACAGACAGCCCCAGTTGCACACAACTTGCATGCACCCTTAGGCTTCATCCTGCACTCAGTTGCACGCAGGTTCCCCTTCTCATCTCTTGCACACCCAAAACTTCCACAGTGTGTGGTTGCATATACAGATAACAATGGCCAAACAAGAGAGATCTGTCTTCGCTCCCCCCCCCCACCACGCATGCAAACAAGAACACATGCAGCAGGCACATACACACAATTCTTTGGGAGGGTGTGACATTCTCCCTCTCCTGATTGGGTATCCCTTACTCTCAGCCCTGAACTGATATGCACAGTCATTCATCCACATACACAGACATCATTGCCAGGGACTTTGTGGCAAGCTCTGCCCCCCCTGTCTGTACAGATCAAATCTTAAGAAGTGAATAGATATGCTTTCACCTCTCGCATCCCTTACTACTAGCAGGATGCACTGTCCGTGTTTTCCTCCAGCCATTGATGGGGGTGGAGTGGGGGGGGGTTATCCATCACTAGAGCTCCTTAATCACTCAGCAGAAAATGCTTTGCACACATTTTCCCTCATCTTCCTTTTACTGCACTTTTCATGTCCTCAGGACTCTGCAGTTCCTTCATTTTGAAAAAAAAGGCAAGAAAACGGGATCCTGCAAAAGAGGGAAGGGTGCTTATCTCTCGGGTAAGCTGGGATACACAGGATTGGAATATGTAACCTTGGAAAATCACTGAGGGAGTTGTTGTAAGGGTGGTGGATGAGAAAGGATCTTGTGTATGGTCCTGTGAGCCTAGCAAGTGAGTGTTGGAGTGTGCGAGGAAGCCTGTGAGACAGCTGTGTTTGCACTTTTGAAAATGTGTGCAACAGAGCATGGCTGTCTGCCAGTGTGCTCCATGCTCACGAGACACATGGGATCGTACCTTCATTTTAACTGGTTTCAGAAATAGGGTAGGGTGCATGTCCAGAGGTACTGAGGCATCTGCATGGAGGGGGGGGGGGTTGAAGAAGGGCTATTGCTGTGAGAACATGTGTGTGAGTAAGAGGCTGCAATGTGAGTGCGTCTGTGAGGGTGATAGAGGTTGTGCGAGAAGATCAGTTCTAATGCATTCATGTTCATGTGTTTGGGGTATGGAAAAAGGCAATGCTTTTTTTCTAGGGCAGCATCTGGGAGTAAAGGCAACAGTGGTGGGTGAACATTGAGCATGTGCATTTGTGGGTGTTGATACCACTGCTTATAGAAGGGAACCAGTGGGGGATATAAGGGGATGGTGTGTATGAGTGGCACCATGGATGGGTTTGCAATATGGATGATGCACATTCCCCGGAAAATGCCCGAGTCTCCCTAGTGATATCAGAACCAACACTTCCTTGCTTGCATAGCTCAACCCTCACTGGCAGCAAGACAATTGTACTAAATTAAAATGCTCCCAAGTTTATCCCACTTCTCTTTCCAGGGCCTAGTTAAGAGACTGTATAATCCCCTCAAGGCAGCATTTAATAGGGCCAGACAACTGCCCTGATGAAATGTCTTATTTTGCAGTGATTGCTGCAGGGAGAAAAAGCTGGTCCCCCAAGAGAGGACTGCTGAGAATGGCCCTTGCTTTGACTCCCCTGTCTCTGGGGTCTCACTGTATATCCTACCCCCTTCCTTCCCCAACAATTCCATATTTAAGAACTTGGAAATATTTGTGGCATCAACTAATACAAAGTCAGGTTCTCTTCTTTTTTTTGATAAGCACATTTGCAGGTGTTTAGGATTAACATTAGGGGGTGAGCTGGGAAGGTGGGAAAACTGTCATAATAATTAAGCTGAATTAGGGAACCATCTCTGCCTGTGAAATAGTGTGTTATGTGTGTGTGAGAGAGAGTGAGTGTGTGGGGGGAGACTCACATCTGAATGTCGCTTTTTAACATGCATCTCAAAATCTGTTCTGCTGTCAGACTCAGTGTGGGTTGTTTAGGTATGTCACGATGCAAAGCAAGAGGGGTTGTTTGTGTAGTGGGAGGAAATCTCAGGGGATGACAGAATAATCTTAAAATGTCTTGGTAAAGCGGGGACAAGGATGAAGGAAGGGGGTAAATTGGAAAAAGAGAGAGGATGCACAAATAAAAGAACATTTGAATCTTGATATGTTAAGGTTGTCAGGGGGAGGGCATGAACATGTTTCAAAGATGTGATTTTATACATGGGAACCTTTGATGAAATGCAGGTGTATTTAAGCACCTTTCAGGCAACACAACCAAATCACCCTTGTCTGTTCTCCTTGTCTCTAGAAAAACTCATCCCATGAAGACACTGTGTCTCCCAGAAGGGGGAGCTCTGACACCATTTCTGGGGCCCGCCTATAGATTTGCGGATGCCAGCTGTATACCAGAGCAATTTAAATTCCTATTTGGTTTAGATCTGCCGAACACAGAGAGAGAGGGAGGGAGGGAGGGAGGGAGGGAGGGAGGGAGGGAGACAGACAGAGAAACTGGTAATGGCTAAAGCACCCTTGCATAAACTAGGGTCGCCATATATTTTCTTTAGGATTCCCAAAGAAAAGCCCAACAATTTTGTCCCCTTTCCCCCAAAAAGCTCAATAACTTTTATGCCCAGATTTTCACTTTGGCAACCTTACCTAAACCACTTTTACTAACCATAACCCTGTTGTATCAAATCAATTGTCCAACTAGTCCAGCACCCTGTTCCCCACACCAGCCAATTAGATGCCTTCAGGAAGAATTAAAAACTAACAGGCAGGGCATGTTGGGGGAAACCACTTCCTCCAACTGTTTTTCCTGCAGTAGCAGATGTTTTGAGGTAGACTGCCTCTGAAGCTGAAGGTTCCACTTAGCCTTCAGGGGGATAGCCTTCAGTAGACCTTATCCTCCATGGATTTGCCCAAGACTCCCCCTTTTAATGAAGTCTAAGTTTGCAGCTGAAACCACATCTTGTAGCAGTGAATTCCATAAGCAAACTAGACATTGTGTGAACAAGGACTTTTTTTAAAAAAAGAACAGAAGAGGAAGCTTCATTTGTGTGGTAGTATATACTTAGTGATGGTCTGTGTGAAGCTTGTTCCTCCCCAAAGCTGCCTAACTGAGGTGCCAGGCTTGGGGAGGTAAGGAGGTTCCAGCAGTGTCCCATAGCCCTTGTGCCTTCTTCCCATATGCCAGGCCCTCCTTCCCAAAGGGTTTGGGAAGGCAGTGAGAGAGCTCTTGTGCCTTGTTCACAATGCCTGTCATATTTACCCGGCCCTTGTGCCCACCCTCCACCATAAATACAGTGCTGTCTATAGTGTTCCACAGCCAAGATGGCCCTGAAAGTGTCCCAAAGCACTCTCAGTTACTCCCCAAAGCCTAGCACCTCAGTCATCAAGTTATGGGAAGGCAGTAATAGAGCTCTGGCAACATCCCAGAATCCTCCCGCCTCCGTCCCCAAACCCTGCACCTTGGAACCCTCCCCCTTCTTTCCCAAAGTGTGGCATGTCCTAGAGCCCTTGTGTCTCCTTCCCAAAGGACAGTGCCTCAGTTGCTAGGCTTTAGGAAGTCAGTGAGGTGGCTCCAGCAGCAGATACAGACTTTGGCAATATGGTATCCTGGCCGAGGACAAAAATAATCTCCTAAAGATTAGGCTTTTGGCAATGATGTCCAGCACCTCAAAGCTGCTGTGCCGCATTTCTGAAGCCTAGCACCTCAGTTATCTGGCTCTTGTGCCTCTCTCCCAGTATTTCTTATTTTCACAATAATTCCTTGCTCTGCCCTAAAGACATGCTGTCAGCTGCAAAGCCTGGCACCCCTAAGCCCCACCACCTCCTTCCCAAAACTCAGAGTCTCATTTCCATCCCAGAACCCCTGAACCTCCTTCCCAAAGCCCTGTGCCTCTATTACCCTGCTCTGGGAAGAGAGTGAAATGGCTCTGGCAGTGTCCCAGAGCCCTCTTGCCTCCTTCCCCAAGCCTGCTGCCCCAGAGCCCTCCTTCCTGAAGCAGGCTTCGGAGCCCTTACAGTTCCTGCCCAAAGCCCAGCACCTCAAGATAATATCTGGTGCCCTCCCTAAATGTTTCTTATTTTCACAATAATTCCTTGCATCACCACAAAGTCCACAGCGAGCCTGGCACCTCAAAGCTCACACACCTCCATGCCAAAAAGTGGTGCCTCAGTTACCCAGCCCTTGCACCTTTTTCACAAAGCCTGGCACCTACTTCAAAATCCCAGCATCTCAGTTACTGGGCTGAGGGAAGGTAATGAGATGGCTCTGGCAGCAGGGGTGGACTTCGGTAATACGGCACCGTAATCAAGGACAAAAAAATGCACCACCCTATAGACTGCACTGTGCAATGAAACCTGGCACCTCAAAACCCTGGAGTCTCCTTTCCAAAGCCCACTGCCTCAGCCTGGCACCTCCTTACCCCCAAAATATTTCTTATTTTCACAATAATTCCTTTCACCCCCCAAAGATGGCACTGCTGGCAGCGAAGCACTCTTCCTTCCCAAAGCCCGCTGCCTCAGAGCCCTGTGCCTTCTTCCCAAAGCCTGGCACCTCAGTTGCATCCCAGAGCTCTTACACATCCTTTTCCAAGCCTATCACCTTAATTACCCAGCTTTGGGAAGGCACTGATATGGCTCTGGCCAAGAGCCCTTGTGCCTCCTTCTCAAAGCCTGGCACCTTGCTTACTGGGCTTTGGGAAGACGGCTCCTGAAAGTGGTGTGGTGTGAGGGTTTTGGGGTACTATCAGAGCCCTTCCACTCCCTCCCCAAAGCCTGGTAAGGGAGGCAAACCCTCTGGGTGCACAAGTGGAGGAAAGTAAATAAATTGAGAGTGGAGAACTGTAGGTTTCCCTGGATCTCTGTTTATTTATTTATTTCCCCTCTCACATAAGGTCACAATCGCCTGCCTCTAATCTCTCTCTCTTTTTTTAATTGAAAAAAGCAAATCCTCTTTGTCACTATTAAATGCAATGTTCAAATCAGGATGAGGAAGAGTTAGGGTTGAGGGTGCTGATGAAACCCCCACCCCCCTCCTGTTATTTCCACTAAATTGAGTTAAATTATCTTCTTCCTGTACTCTTCTAAAAATAGCAGCTGGGGGGCATGCTAAAAGAGGGGTGAGAAAATTCTGGCCCTGGAAGGGGATGCAATATGGCCCTCCAGGCCTTTCTTTCTGGTCCTCAGAACTCTCCCTGGCCACACCCATCACTGGACCCTGTTGAAATGTGGCTTTGAACTCTGATAATGCATTTTACATGTTTGGATGGAGGCTATGAGCATTTTCTCACTTGGTTTCCATAATGCAATGCCACTTACCACCTGGCCCAGGGCGGGGCCTGACAGGCCTCACTAGGACAGTTGTTACTGCCGGAGAGGCACAGAGTGTTTTTAAAATGTTTTTAAAAAAAATTTTTTCTGGATTTTTTGTATGTGGGGGGTGGGATTGATGTTTGGTTGGGCTTGGGGAATTATTATTTTTTATTTTGATGTTTTTGTAATTTTTATATTTTTTGTTTGTATTGTTGTATTGGTTTTGTTTGTTTGTTTAAGGTGTTATTTTGTTTTTAGGAGGAGGGGTCAGGGCTGCCGGGGAGTCGGCCCCAGCCCACAAAATGGCTGGGGCATGTTCCACAGGGGGGGATGCACTGGGACAACCGATCTCAGTGATCACGGGTAGGAGGAGGAGTTACGCTAAGACCAGACCATGTCATT